CTTATTGTTGTCAATCCTGAGCATGCTAAATGTTTTTACAGTGTTGAGGGAACAAAAAATACCTTGAAACCAGAGGTGGTTTCAAGGACCAACTTGGACTGAGGACTAAGTGGAGAGAAACTGATGTGGTGTTCAGGACTGTTGCTGTGCACAAGGCTGCTGTCCTTCAGAAGTTTTCCAGAATGAGATCACAGCTACGTGTGTGGCTGGGTTTGTTGAACAGAGGGCAAAAACTGCATCATTCCACAGCAGAAGCCAGTTGCTTTTAAGAAATGTGGGCTTTAAGTCATGTCAAGCAGGGGGCAAATGTGGTGTATTACTGGCTACTGTACAGCAAGTGGTAAGGGACCTCAAGGGAAATACAGCCACAAAGGTAGATGCCTTGCATAAAATGATCAAGGTTTAAAAACGTTCTTGAAAAATTATTATCTGAGATTAATTGGTTGAGGTCAAGCACTCCTCACAAATTTACGTGGCAGATCTGACTTTCAGCATTCCCTTTTTTTCCTCTAACAAGGAAATCCACCCTTCCCTCTTTGTCTGGTTCTGGTCACTTTTTCTTAACTATTTTCCCTCCCCCAGGTTTGGAAGGTCTTGGGTGTTAGGGGCTTGGCTGCAGTAACATGTTGGGTTAGCTGTAGAAGTTTTAACAGCTAAAAGAGAACTTCAGTGAACTGCCACTGCAGCCTAAAGCTCAGCTAAAAATTTCTTCATACATTTAAGTCCCTGCTGCCAAAGGACAAAAAGCCCATCTGTTCAGCACCAAACAACTAGATACTGGCCTTTCAAGGACAAGCCAGGTAGCTACTAAAGTTCGTGAGGGTCCTCTAGTAAATGGTATCGCTGCTTATGACAAACCTGCTCTCCCCTTATGACAAACCTTTCTTCCCCCAGAAAAGGTACTGAGTCTGCAGCTAGAAACAGGAGTGAGACCTCACACCACCTACCAGCCACACCATTCTCTTAAAGAAGGCTTGGGAAAGCAATTCACGCTGTTTCAGTTCCTTCCCCCCCATGGTTTGTGACTAAAGGGTGAACACAGGGAAACATAAAGAAAGGTCCTTAGCCTGTAATCTTCCACCAGAGGGGCAGCCCTCTGGATGCTCTATTGTAAGGGCATAGCTGAGGCTGGGAAGCAAAGAACTGGCTGGAAGATCAGGAGCATGATGGATGCGGGTAGCAGAACTGCTGCCTGATGAGATGGCAGGGTTCAAGGGTTGAAGGCTTAATGGACAGCAGAGAAGCCAGTTTAAGAGTGTGAGTATCTGCAACAAGAACAAAAATAGCATTATTCAGACCAAAATGAAAGCAAGAACTAAACTGCTGTATATGTTTTTGTTCAAGTCTCATGACTTTGGGGCACATCCCATGAGTTGGGTGAGGAAGGACAATTGGTTTTGAGCTGTCAAAGTTGGCAGCTCTCAGACCTCCAGAGTTCTTTTTCAGCAAATAAAGGAGATGAAACAGGACTGTGGCTCCATGTCTCACAGAGGATGTGTCTGGTGTATGGGCTCGCAGGAACCTTCACAGGAGACTTCAGGGAAGATGGACATTATGTTGAGGGTGAAGTCATCTAAGCACGGATGATGACTCAGCCTTCCTATGCAGCAGCATAGTGCCACAGTGTATCACCCTGTGACCCCATGTCCAGGTTAGCCAGGCAGTAAATTCAGTGATTGGCAATGCCCAACGTGTCAGGCTACAGGGCCAACAAATGGCCCTGGTGGTCTTGTAGATCCACCACGCAGCAAGCCGTAGACTGCAAAGAAAACTGGGCTGGGAGCTCACAGTTAACATATTTGAGTTTGACAAGGTTAAATGCTGTGTTTGGTCCTAATTTTGGCTATAGAAGAGCATTTTTACAATAGTGTAGCTCTGTTAGCTTCAATGATATTACTCCAAACTTTGTCCAAGCTAGAGGAAAAGCAGCCTCTGTAAATTCTTGTAGCTGAGAATCAGCTGGAGACCTATATCTGCTGTTTTGTTTTTGTACTATAGAAGTGTCTGCAAAAACACCCCTGTATTTTGCAGTCAAAATTATACCCTTAGCCACAGCTTTGTACAGGTAACATGACTCTAATTTAGAAGGCATTTCTTTTGAACAAATGAGAATAACTTAGTTCCATTGGAATCAGAGTACAGGAAATAAGTAATTGACCTTTGTTATGTCACTAAAGTATATAGCACACATGACTGAATACATACATGAAGTACATTTGCAGAGTAAAACCATGTTGATGCTAGTATGATTTCCACAGGGTATTTTTTTCAACTGAACTGCACCTTCCAACCATGACTGTTGTTTGTTCCTTCAGGCACAAACTGTAATTACAGTTTGCAACTAATATCCTGAGGTCTCAACAGTTCCTGAGGGTTACCACAGTATAAATATTAATGCTTCACAAAAACACAAGTCCTGCTCACTCTGTTCATGTAGGCACTTATATTCACTCCCAAGGAACTCGGGTAGTCAGACTAGGTCTGGACAGATGTGTGAGGCTTGGAAGGGAGCAACTTAGCTGTGCTGAACCCATTCACTACTGGTTGGCCTTCCTTTGCAACTTGGAGATCCATAATGATCAACTTTGGCAAGTCTCTCTGTTTCCAGACTCGCACTTTATTACCTTGGGTAAACAACCTTCTGCCTCCCCCTCCTTGGATTTGCTAACATGAATGCATGTTTATAGTGCCTTCCCCAGCACCTCCTCTGAAAGAAGTCATCATCTCCCAGCACATTGTTATTGCCACTGTGATCAGGGCTCTGTTGCATTAGGCTCTGTAACACTGTGCCAGAAGATAAATCGGCTTTTCTGACTGGGAGCCACAAGATCCTGAAGCAGACTGTCCTTTCAGGGATGAAGGAACTGAGATTTAGAGCTTGATCTGTATATGAATTCGTATCTTGGAGCAATAGGAGTCCAGTCAGATTAGCATGTGGATAAGCCAGAGCTACAAGTCTGGATGGGAAAAGAAGACTGACTAATGTTAGTCAGGGTAATGGTCATCACTCCCCCCTGGACTGCAACCAAAGGAGTTTGCCATAAGGCTTTTTTCCTTTCTGCATTAAGACACACTGAAAGTTGGGCCTATCTGTCAGAGTCTAATGCCAGCCTATCACTACTAACCAGAGACATCCTCAACAAAATACATGCTTAAGACAAGTAGGAGTTGGCTTCTTTTCAAGTTGCTGACGTAACTGTCATAGTAAAAGAAGTTGTGGGGATTTGCATAGTCTTGGATTTCATTCCATAATTCCTGAACTAGCAGAAATCTCAGCTATTTGGCAGATTCACAGTTATCCCTACATACATAAAATAACTGATTCAGAAATACAAGTTGTTTTTTTTTTAAGATATGAAAATCTCCATACTGTGCTGTTGAAGTTATTATCCTCAAGGAAATAAATATATCTTATCTACAAAACAAAATGTCCATTGAACTTTTTTATTACACTGTTCCTTGCAATTGCTTTTTTCTTTGTACAATCCCATGCACACTGAAAACAAAGTGCAGAGGAGATGAGGTGGCAAGGACCACAAACAAGAGAAAATCCATGTAATTATTTCACTTTACCTTAGGAGAAGACATGTTTAAACTAACACATTCTTCACAAAAGCAAAGTAAATATTATAACTAATATTTAAAAACTCTCGCAGCATGTCTATGTCATATGCCAAGAATACTAACCTCTACAAAAATAAACTTCAGCAGTGGATCCTGATTTTTCACCGTTGCCCTGTGTGCTGCTCAGACTTACAGAAAGCTGTAGGAAAATTGTCTGTGTAAAATAAAGCCCTTCTGACTTGAATTAGCATCAAAGAATCTCTCAAAGATTTCATAATTATACATAATCCAGGCAGACCAGCTCATCAGCATAAATGGAAGAGAAGCAGACAGAAGTGGTAAGAGACTATGGAAAGAGGAGCCACAGCTCATGGAAACACCAGCCATGATTACCCCTGAAGCAGCTGCTTAATAACCTGAAAGGTAATGTTTGCACCCCCTTATCTGTGCTTGGTCTCCTCCTCTGACAGTTTAGGATGATGCTGGGTGGGCAGCTTGGTTATCTACTGTCTGCTTTAACCTTGCTCTCCATGTTGCTAAGAGAAACACAGCCCTGCTTAGATTGCTGTGCTTGAAACTAGAACCTGAGCTTTACTGTCAGGATAAACAATTGCTTGTAGACCAGCTGGGCACACAGAGCAGCAGATCCTGGCTCTCTGGATTAAAAAAAGGATATAATACTACTTCTAATGATGCATTTGGAGCAGCTCCCAGACACACCAACGTTAGAGGTTGGGAGTATGTGTATAGGTCCTCTGTCTGCTGCTGCTTCAAGGTTTGTGGTGTAAGGTGATGAAATGAAAATTACAAGCTTTTTTTTTTTAAAAAAAAAAAGAGGTAGGGAGAAAAATACTGGGCTTTCATTTCAATCACTTTCTCTCCAATAGCCAAATGTGTCTGCAGAGGTGTTTAATGTCAGCCTGCAGTGTGTCTGTGTTTTACATCAGGACACTTGAACACTGACCCTGGTCTGAGCAGGAGAACCTCTAAGGGTCCCCTCCATCCTCAGTTATTGCATGAGTCTGTGATGAGGTGTGGCGTCATGCCTAACAAGCCGCCTCAGGTGGAAACAGGCACAGCTCGTGCCCATTTTGGGTGGAACAGAAACCAGTTTCAAGAAAGTAAGCCTGCAGGGTAGTAATGTGCAAGGCTTCCTGGCATAGGGTGCAGGTGGTAAGGAGCTTGAGGACTGGAAGAGCTAGGACATGCCTGGAGGGATGAAACAGACCCCAGAAAAAGGCTACACACCTGGGCTCAAACACAGCAGCAGGCACAGCTTGAACTGATCTTGCCACCAAGCAGGTTGTAACTAAGAATACTGTAGAGATACACCAGCCTAGCACAGAGCCTCACCTGTATTTAGAGAACAGAAATTCAGCCTGGCCTTATAGCAAAGAGGCTTAGCTAAGAAGGGCACCGTAGGGGCTGACAAAACCAGATAATTAACACATGGTTTATAACTAGTCAAATGAAAATTATGTGAGTGACTACTTCCAAAGTACTGTAGCTGTCCCAAGTAGCTTATGAGATCCTGAGCGAAACAAGCACGTGGAGATCAGAGGAAGCCAGTGTCTTAAATTTGTCCTTATCCCACCAGCCTCACATCTGATTCTTAGTTAAGGGCTTCTTTTCTGAGGCAGGGTAAGTACGCCCAGCAGTAGGACTAGTGCTGTAGTCCTGAGCAAATGGACAGCAGTGAGAAGCCGTGTCCCAGAGTGGTCTTCCTGGGACGCAAGAGAATGTGGGAAGGACCTGCCTAGCAGTTCCCAGCAAGAAGGTCTGTGGTCTTAAATTGTGTGAAATGGACAACCACACTCCACGAAGGGTGGAATAGGGGCATAAACAAGCAGATACACTGCTTTTCTCAAAAGGCTTCAATCTCTGTGAGCTACAATCAATGGAAAGACTTCCTACTGATTTTTCTGGTCTCTGGACTGAAGCCCATGTGTGGATGGTATTTTGTGCAATGGCTTCAACCTACCTCAGTCTGTCACATCACCTTTCTCCACTCCTGTTGGTTAGTTTTGCAGTGTTCGCCTGTTAGACTCAGGACACTGAGCCTGAACAAAGGATGATTATGAAAATTATAAATGTGTATCCTCTTTTAACAGCTGTGTTTAAAATGTCTCTATAATTGTCAGATTGTTTTAAGCTTCCCATCATAATTTACTGCGTTTCCCTAAAGCAGTAGCAGATGAATCTAAACCACGCACGGCTTGTGTTGCTTCCACAGCATGCCCACATCACCCTGCTCTCAGACATTCCCGTGACGGCCAGCTGGTGAGTCACACAACCACAGGCCCTCATTGCTGGCAAGGGGAGCCCACCTGAGAGGCAGCCTTTCATTCCTTCCTTCCTTCAGGCACTCACTCACTTCTCCCAGTGGGGCTCTAGTCTCCGGCAGAGGCATGCTGATGGTCTCTTCAGAATCTTTCCGCACACAAAAGCAGGCGCTCCTGCCACTCATCTGCAGACTGATTTATTAAAACACACAGATTTGCAGGGCAATATAATATCACATGCAGCAGATAGGAACAGTATGCACAGTCTGTTAGCTACACACATCTGTATCGCTGTCGGGAAGTAACCTGAAGATGTGCCTTAGTGCTAAATAGGCTGTGAGTTACATTCTTGTTTGGATCACATGTAGTGGGGGTGTTGACTTTTAGCCAGCAGCACTCAGAAAATCCAGAAAATTGTTTAGATTCAGGAGCCACACGTAGATGAATTTGCTGGCTTTGTTCATATTAAAGTTTAAATTTTCAGAAAAAAAAAAAAAGGAGATGCAGATTTCCATCCTTTTCTTTCAAAACAAGCACGTTCTTTTCAAGGATCACTGTTTTGACCTATCGGAGTATGCGCAATCCTGAACTGAAAAGGTGTAATCTGAAAACAAGAAGAATGATCTGTCTCTGTAGAGAAGCTTCTTACCTATTCCTATTCAGAGCACACTGATGGCCATCTCTGATCTAAGATCAAATAATTCCTATACTCCTTCTAAGCTCAATTCATCACTGTTAGCCCTCCTTTTCTGTGGAACTGTAGCCCTGGCTGACAAGGATTAGGATTCTTCTCCAGTACATTAAGTTTGATGATTTCCAGCAAGGTCCCTTGCAGGAGTTTTTTAGGCAGAGCTGATTTAAAGGCAACTGCAATTATGAAAATTAGAAATTATGACTGCCAACTATTTAAATTGAGAGAAACGCTCATCAGTTGAAAGAACCTGAATAAAGACCACGTGTAAGTACTTAGCATTGACTGGCAAAAACACCAGTGGGTTTTTTGAGTGTTTGCCAGTTTTGCTCAAGATACACAACATAATGTTCTCAGGATCTGCAGGAATCTCCTGTGATTCTCTACAGTTAAGTTCACTAAATACTGACATTTTCAGCTCCAGTGTTTCATTAGGCTTTTGCAAGCCACAATCATTTAGTTTTCTAATCTTGTCATCTACATTACCACGTATCTTTTGAAAACCAGAATATATTTCTACTAAATTATTTAGCTCTGCTCAAAGATAGAGCTCATAAATTGAACTTTCACTCCTACTTACAACTTTCACTTATTATGTTTTATTAATTTTAAAATGAGGTGGGTTATTTTCCCTCTGAAAGAACTTAGGATTTGTTTTTATTGCAGAGGGTCAAGGTGATTTGACAAAACAATTAGGTGGAACAAAGTCAGAGTAACTATACAGATAGTTACTCTGAACAGAAGATTCGCAACAGCAGCTGAAGTATTTCCTCATAATATGAAGTAGGGTTTGTAAAAAAAAATAACTCCATATTCAGACCTTATGTATTAAGAGTGTTTGGAATTTGCATCCAAACCTCATCTCTCTACCTCTCTGTGATCTTCAAGTTTTCAGGCAGGCAGCACCTGAGGATTAAGTTCTGCCCTGTTGTGGAGAAACTGGTGAGTTTTGCCTAACCTAGGCATGTTTTAGACTGCTATTAAGAACACTAATCAGCACATTAGGGAAGTGGGTTTTCCCCCCTTTCTTTTAAAACACGTTTGCACACATGAGCTGAGGCTGAATTTGCATTTAAACTGCTCCTCTTTAGCAAGTAATTTTCTTGAATGTAACTCCTTCTAAGTGTTTCCACAACAAATTTTTTTAACTGCCCATAATGTTGTCACCATGCAGCTGGCCTATTATTCACACTTGGAATAAAAATCAAAAGAGTTTTGACTGAATTCTCTAATGGAGCTTTGTGAATGAGAATATGAGTATCATATTGTTGAATGAGCTACTAAGGACTCTCAGTTCTCAAAGCAGGGAGCATTTTTCTTTATTTTTTTGTGTCTACAATAAAGGAATGTATGATGGTTTGTGCATTGTATTGAAAATGAGTTAATGCGAGCATCTAGTTAAATACATGTGTGTTGAATACCCCATTAGCTAGTTTTCACAGTAAAAAGAATCATGCTTTAAAGCATCTCTTCCCTTGCTTGTTGTGCAATAATCTTCAGTACAGGTTAGCCTTTATCCTGTACCATGAAAGCTTATCTTCTCAGCAAAGGAGGCTTCAAGATCTCTGTCACTACTGGTAAAGTAGTTTAGCTCTATGCCAAACTGGAAAATTTCACCCTTCCCCAGGGGTAAATAAAATCCCTACAAGCAAGAGTTCAAGTCGAGCAAGTTCTTCACTAGTTATTCTTTCCATGAGTCACATGCATCTCTTTTGCAGAATTTGTCCAGTTCCTTGTCTCAGATATACAAGATCAGCATAACCCAAATTATCCTTTATAGCCAGAAAGAATACTAACCTCTAATACTAACAAGACTGAAAGCCCCCTGCAGTTGCAAACCAAACTTTCTTCCTCCTTTCCTGTCACTTTTCTTCACTTTCCCTTTCCTCCTGCTGTTTTTCTAGCTCTGACTCTGGGGTCAAAACAACATGCTTACCTTTAAGGTTTTTCATACTTTTTATTTCTAGAGCAGCCACCAGTCTTCCTAAACATTTGTCAGTCATGGAGATGCTCTTCTTTTCTTACACTATGTGCCTTTGCATTAAGAAATAATGTTGTTCACATGTGGTCATTCCTTGCAGCACTCCAGTGCTTAAAGGTTAGGTTCAAATCAGTAACAGAGTGGCAGTGGCCACTGGGTTCAAGAGTTAACACTGCCTGTTACAGTCCGTTTCTAATTTGTAATAAGATTTTTATCTTGGGAAAAGCTAATGCTCTTTGAGCATACTGGCTGATCCTGTAGTCAATTAATCTTGCACAGTATCTTGACTATTCTATACAACCACTGTTTCCACAGGTAATTCCAGTAAGAACAATACATAAAAACATATTTCTACTTTTGTGACTTCAGAACCTCCAGAAATAGTGTCTCAGAAGACAACCTGTTTTGTCCAAACAGGGAAATAGAGCACAGTGATTAGCATCTTCTAGGGCTAGGTGGTATGTATGGTACATGGGCAGCCTTTCTTGAAAAGTAAGAAAATAACACATTTAAAAGAACAATGAATGCTTAAACTGAGAATGGGGGTGAGAAGCCATGAGGGTTTTTTGTCATTGACAGTGCTGATTCCATATATTACCAGCCCATCTGAAATCCTGTGCGCATCAAGCAGAGCGGTCCCAAAGGGGAGCTTTGATTTTTAGTGGGTATGATGGTGGTACATGCACAAAGGTCTGTGTATTGTCCAAGAGGATCTTGTCATAGACAATAATCCCCCCGAAGCGCTTGGAATGTTTTAACAGTTTCATTTTCCAGGATACCTCCAGAAGTGTAGCTGGTGATGTCTAGGCATTGTGGAAGACGAATTATATTCTCCTGACCTTCAGTAGTAGGTTAAGCCACTAGGTAGAGCCTGTTGAATCCAAAAGGAGTTACACTTATATTTTGGCTGCCTAAACCTATAATTTAAAGATGTTTAGAGTCACAGGTTTATGAGTATACTGGAGAACTATAGCACAAAGCACTTTCAACTGCAGGCAATGAATTACTCTTTGTTTATCTGTGTTTGTTTTAATAGGTCTCTTTTTTCCACATGTTTTATGGTATACAAGAATAAACATCATTAGGATTTATATATAACAAATCCCAATGTACTTAGAGGAAAAATCCAAGCCACATAACAGGTTTTGCTTTGTTTTAAAAATACAATGGTGTGAAAAATAAGCACGTGTTTTATGGTCCCATTTATCGCATTAGAGTATTGTCTGGCTTTTCCAAACCATATACATAAACACAACTATTTAACCTGGAGATAGGAAAGCACTTGTTTAAACATGCACATGCCCATAGTACCATAATTTACAGAGACTCAGAGTTGGCACTGTGTTCTGACATAGAAATGTAGGGTTGCACCACATGTACTGAACAATTGCTGTAATGTTTGAAATACAATGGCTACACTGTTTTGTTTCCAAATTCTTTAGGAAAAATCAGCACAGATTTTTTGGTACAGATATTACCTCTCTAGGTACTGTTGAAAAGCAAGTGTATTATTTCCAAATATAACTGTTACTTGTAATACCATAAAAAATAATCTTTGAATGAAAGCTTAGGCACAACTTACTGGCGCTTGGCACCAAAGCTCTGAAATTCAGTGGAAATGCTGTGGTAGCCTGTGGAGTCAGAAGCTGCAGGTGGAACACTGCAACACAAACAAACAAACGGGCTTTCTAAAAAAAAATCTCCAAGTTACATATACCAGTTTCATTGTTATAAACCACCAAGTCAACCAACTGCTTTGTTTTAGAGGAAAAGGGGTTGGAGGGCTGTATCCAAAATTAACGGGTCAAGGCAGAGGAGAAAGCCCCCACATTTGTCCCTATTTGAAGACAATTCCCTGTGCTGGGCACAGCTGCTACATATGCTGTATAACCACGCACCTCAGTGCAGAGAAGTTCACGCAGAAGACCCCAGCTGTGGGAGCAGAGGCCAAACGTTCGTGCTCTACTCACTGTGCTGCTGGGCAGTCGAGAGCAGGCCTTGGAGAGGTTGCATTCAAATGCACTTTTAGGTATGAAACCTAGGATAGACAGCACTGATTCTGGCAGCGTTGCAAAGCTGACTGTGTGCTGAAGATTCCCAGCACCAGCTTTCCCCTTTGGCTCTTCAGCTGTTGGAGCAGAGGCCAAACGTTCGTGTTCTACTCACTGTCCTGCTGGGCAGCTGAGAGTGAAAACCAGAGAATTTGTATTCAAATGGACTTTTATGAAACCGAGGAGAGACTGCAATGATGGTGACACCGTTGCAAAGCTGACTGTGTGCTGAAGAGGCCCAGCACCAGCTTTCCCTCCTGGCTCTTCTGCTGTGGGAGCAGAGGCCAAACGTTTATGCTGTAATCACTGTGCTGCTGGGCAGCCGAGAGCAGGCTCCGGAGAGGTTGCATTCAAATGCACTTTTAGGTATGAAACCTAGGATAGACAGCACTGATCGTGACACCATTGCAAAGCTGACTGTGTGCTGAAGATTCCCAGCTTGCTACATATGCTGTATAACCACGCACATCCTGGTGCTCCTCAGCACAGAGAAGTTCACGCAGAAAACCCCAAAGGTTTGCCCATATTAGTTTCATGGGTTTTTCCTCCAAAACAATGTAAGGATCACAGTCCAGCCACCTTTGTATACAGCCACAGCTCAGTGAGTGGTTTTAAGACAAGAAGATTTTGGTGACATGTTCATTCTAAGCTTATTTCTTGGTGGGAAGTCATCTCTCTGCTTTCCTGGTGTTCAAAACTAACCTTGTCATCTTGACTCAAGGAAAGCACCTGTGTGTGGCGATTGCTGTGAGCAGAGAGGTGCTGGTAGCATGCGAGAATGTATTAGTCTGTCAGGGAATCTCTGTGCAAGGCTCTAAGAGAGCAAAAAGGCAGCTCAGCTGTTCAAAATGACATGTTTTTTGAAGAAGACTTTGCAAAATGTGAGCCAAAAAGTGATCTTCGGAGCTTTGCAGGACCTTGATGGTCTCTGCTGCATTTGATGCAGCTAGACAGAAGCTGTTGAAAGAGTTACAGGAATGTTACAGCAATTGTTTTTTTCTCCTTGCACTTCAGTAGTTGTCAGCAAAAACTTCCGGTATCTGGATTTAAACTGACACTGCTGTGGCTCACTGTCTGCCTCAGGTTCATTTCTAATGCTGTCTAGTTTTATTAAGCAGCTAATAATACTCACACCTATGCAACACTTTTCATTTATAGACTTCAGCACACTGGCACAGCTGCACCCCCATTTTACACAGGGGGAAAGTCAGGGAAAGCAAGGCCAACACTTGACTTTCTAACGCATGCTGCAGTTTGGGTGGCAAGAAGCTGACGGATATTACCTGTTTTTTTTCCCTCTGGTGTGCTGGAAAAGGGTTTAATTACCCACAGCAGACTTCAAGCGTGCAGCCATTTATGGGGCAGAAGGCCCCACAGGGTTTCCCACACATCCCATAAGTGCAGCTGGTTGTACTTCTGGTGCAGGGAGCTCAGCCCTAAGTGTGGCAGCACCCTCCCTCCCGCCACAGCCCCAGGGCACAGCATATCCGCTGCTCCCAAACACACCACCCTGTCCCACATTGCATTGAGAAGCAGAAATAAAGAGGAGGGACACACATAGCCTTGGAAAGGTCAGTGCATGGGGCAAAGGGAAGGCAAAGGGAAGAGGGGGGCTGTGTAAGGAGGAGGGGACACAAGGCAGAAAATTCCAATACAATAAGGGAAAAGGCACTCAGGGAGGAAGGAGAAGGGGAACACTCTCCACCTTGTGCACTCAAGTTTTGATCGAGCAAAAAACCTAAGCATCACTTAGCTGTCTTTAGAATTTGGGGAACTGGAATACAAAGGTGCCTGAGTTTTGCACTCTCAACATTTTTCCACATAGACATCTGGCCATGTTCCTGCCCTGTACTGGAAACATTCACAAATTTATAGTCCCGTTCTCCCCATTACCACGCCCAGATAAATGAAAATGTAACAGAAGAGGAAGCTGAGCCGCTGACATTACACAGGAACAAAGTGGACCATAAGGAAAGATCCCAGGCTTAGATGGGCCAGCAGTGCAGACCTTGCTGTTAAGAGCAGCCCCATCATCCATGGTGCAGAGATGTATCAAGTTTCGTTTTCATAGCCTGTAGAGTTTTGCCCCACCACTACTTTGTGAGGCTGACACCCTGTTTAATTTCCAGCCTCAGTTTATCCATCACCACTTTATATCAGTTCCCTGCTTTTGCTGTGAATTTCTTTTTTCCATCCTAGCAAAGTTCAGGGCTTTTCCCGAGTGGATACCAGGTATGCTGAGTTAACTGCAAGTCTATTAGCACGCCACCTGTAGAATTATAATAACTGCTGTGTTAATGCAGGACTTTGTATTAGAAGATACCAGTTCTGGATGTAAGAGAAAGACTATAAATCCAGTGTACTTGCTAACGCCTTGAAATTGTTAATATAAAACATTCATTTCCCTTAAAGAGATGTTGACAATTCTCTTGTCTTAAATCACTAACAAAGATCTGACCTTTAAGAAATATTAAGCAGACTAACAGATTTATCAGTTAAATAACTAAGCTTTACCCTTAACAAAACATTTAAATAGTGTGGAATTAAGTCAGAGACATTAGAGACAACGCACTTCAGCTTTTTAGGAAACACCAAATATTCGGGAGTTTAGTCTGACAGTGAAGCTTGTGAGCTTACATACAAAATAAAATATAGGCAAAGAATTACTTGTCAATTAATCTCATCACAGCTCATGTGTTGAACAAGAAATATACATTGGACCTCTCTGTTGACTGCAAAACACTTCAGATGTGGTTTAAGTTTTCAGGCATTTGTACATTTACAGTTTGCTAGGCAAAAAAAATAAAAAGATCAACAACAAACAGAAGTATATTCTAAGAACAGGCTTTTGATTTTTTACAGCATATGCATCCAAATACTCAGAAAAAGCATAATCTGACTCTTTCGAACCAGTTTAAAGAAAGCTACCAGCAGCTGCTAGGTTCTGACTTCCTTTCAAAATTAGATTATTAATTTAGGTGCAACTAGAAAGTAAATTTGGCTATCCCAGTTTAAACCTCAGCCTTCATATAATGTTATTGTTCCCTATTTTGTCACGATTCCCTATTTACAAAGAAATTCGGAGTTGTTGCAAAGCTGTGACATCAAACAGCTGGCACAGCCAATCAAAAATAGGACTTTCTTTTTAAAGTTAATATTGCCATTCATGGCCGTGGGTTGTGTGTGGCTCTAACCCAGCTGTTCAGGATATCAAGGGAGTGGACAAAGGCATGTTTCACCCTTTCAGAACTTGCTGCACTGCTTCTGCTTAGCTTTTGCTTCAGGAAATGATGGGAGGGCATGGGCTGCCAGCTAGGAGATACCCCTGGGAACTGGTGGACAGAGATACCATTTCCTTGAAGCTCCTGCCCACTCATCCATATGGGTACAGACTAGCCCAGAAACACAGTGTGGGGCAAGGAAGTCGGGGGCTGCAGCCCAGCTTTGCTGCCTCTCTGCCTGCTGCACAAGGGGACACCCCAGGATGGAGCGGGCACTCCGAGGGCTCCCCTCATTACCAGGGCTGCTGCCCCAGCACTGCTCTCTCCTGGAGACTGAACGCTCAGCCTAACCCATTATAAGCAGCGAGCAAATTTCTGCCTAGCAGCTGGGAAGGGGAAAACCAAAACCAGGCACCCCACCACTTTGAATCTTTGGGCATGTTTGAGTGAGTGAACGTAAACAAATGTGTGGTGATACCCCTGTGTGCATGGGAAAGCAGGCAGAAGGCAGGGCTGGAACATGCACACAGGAGGTACACACAAAGCCCTAAAAATAAGAGCCTATAAATGTACTGCAGAGTCAAAAGCAAGTGAAATGTTTTCAGAAAATCCTAAAGGGAAGAGTGGAAGAAAAGCAGACCAGCCCTCTGGGAACTCTGCTTTCCTAAGTCATAAAACCCTCTGTTTTCCCTGTCTGGAAAAGCTGTCCACAATGCTCAGAACAATATGTTTTTATTTTTAGTCTTTTACTCCAAATAACCATGGAAAAAAATAAAAAATAAAAAGTCAATGACAACTTCTGTGAGTGGGCAAAGGTACCATCTTGAAGTTGAGGTGGTTATGTTTTTAAAAGCTGGAGTTTGAGGCATGAAAGCGAAACTGTTGAACAAAGATAACGAGTAAACTTAGTATTTCAGAAACATGTTTATGTCCTTAACTAAAACATGTTTTCCAAATTGCTTTAGTTTTTTGTGCCATATGTAAAAACAGATAAAATTATTTCATGTTCTTCACTTAGGAAATTCACAGAAATTTAGAATCTCAAAAGGTTTTGAAAAATGGATATGCCAAATGTGTTGTTAATAAACCCAAAATGTATTTTATTGAATGAAATGGCTTGAAAAGAAGCCAAATTGCCAAAATGGAAAGGAAGATACTTTTTTTTTTCTTTTTCTGAAGGCATCCGACTGTGCAGGAATGCTTTGTTGAGAATTTAAAGATGGACAAATAATCAAAAACTTGGTGGGGCATGGAGCAGCAGACTGTATTAATTAAACCACAATTATCTTTGAGGCACTATTTGGTTTTGCATAGTCGCACAGTATATTCATGCATATTGTATCTAATCCCGCTATCGCTAGATAGACAAAACTCCAGACAGCCGGAATTTGGTTTGGCTAAGCCAAGCACAGTGACTTATTTCAGATGCTGATGTCTGTTTCTTAAAAAGAAGCATTGTTCCTTTTTCCTGTATATTCTATAGCCCTGCTGACTGAGGCTGAGGTCGCGTGGGTGTGCTCAAGGGAAATCTTCAGACAACACCCAGATATCGCAGAAATTTATAATGCTGTTAATGGGGTTTTGCCTGGGTGTGTTGCTGTATCTGCAGCCGAACTGGGTCAGAGATTGAAGCTCCTGGGCACCCTCCCAGCTGCTCACTGCTGTTTTTTCTTTTTTCCTCTGCCAGAGGTCACCCTCCTCTGAGAACTGCCTCTGTCACCGCAAGACATTGTGAAACGATGCAGTCATTGCCGTGATTGCTTTACCATTGAGACCCCTCAATAGGTACTCATTTGACAGAGAAGATCCCACCTGTATCTCTCAGGTCAGGGATAGTCATCGGCTTTTTTTTTTAAAGGTAACCTTTTAGTCTGAGTTTGGCACACCACAGGATAGGTGTTAAGGAACAGATTTTTGCTGCATTAATGCATGTGGAAGGGTTCCCCAGAAATCTAACAAACTGTAAGAGGAGATGAGGTGATAAGAAGCTGGGCAGCTTTGGCAGCCTGCCACCGCAAGGCAGTGTTTGCCGTTACGTGTCAGGGGCAGATCCTGTGCAAAGGTCGCAGAAAGCTAAACATTACAAATCCTAAAAGGTCCTTGCACAATTAACATTTAAAAAATAATATAGAGAATATAAACTGCTGTGTTTTAAAGAGGCCAGGAACAGGAGAAGGTAGCCTGAAGCCAGGAATGTGCTAATTACAGTGTACAATACAAATATTAACCAAGTGACCTTAGGGCTGGGAAGGAGGCAGAAGGAAGGGGGAAGACATGACATAATCCCCTTGGTACTATGTTACATTCTAGTGCCCTGAAAAATGGGGCAGATAAACAGGAAGAGAGCAGTCCTGCCATCCTCGCTGGGAAAAGCTGTCTCCACTGAGGCAACAGCCCTGCCTGGGCTTAAAAGCCACATATAACATCTCTGAGTGCCCAGCAGCACACACCGTGGCTGGGGTACACAGTGCACAGCTGCCTGCAGCTTCATAAGCTCCTGGAGACCCTAGAGAGGATGCTTACCAAAGGTAGTTTTAATAGTTTTGGTTTACTTTTTCCTACTTTAGTATTACAGACCAATGGTTTTAAGTAAGCTGCTTCTTTCAGCCTCAGTTTAAGGGAAAACCTGACTCTAAGTAACCTCACACAATAAAGCATTCTGTTCCTGTGAACATGGCAACATTTAAAGCTTTCCCTGTAACCAGTTTCCCTATCTATATTTTGCAGGATACCAAAATGATAACATAGTCAGCCTCCTCTTAGTCACATGGGCTGTTTGGGAGATGGTATCTCTGGGTCTGAGGTGGGGGAACATCTGCCAGCAGACTGCTTTAGCCAGGAAAATCCTCTGGCACACAGGGTGAGCCAGGAGCCTGCCAAGTACAAAGCACTACAAGGGAGTTTGTAATGAAGCAATGAAGCCTATGCATGCTTCTTTGCCTCTGTTTTCCTGCTGCTGCTGCAGAGCATCCTTAAGTTATCACCCAGATCGTGACTTGTTTTATTTAGATTTATAAGTTCATCTTCCTTTCCTCTTCTCAGCTGATCTTGCAAGTAAACTGGGCTCGTCCTATTGAAAAATCCTGTTTGTCTCTATCCACTCTTTCTCAGCACCATCCTTGTATGTTACTGTGAAATTCCTCACTTAGTTCTTTCTGTCCCTTGATTGTAACCTGACGTCTTTATAAGCCTCTAATGTTGAGGCTGCTGGCTGTACAGCACACAGCAGCCTGGGGCTGTATTTCCCTGGCAGGAGCCTGGGGAGCTGCCAGAGGAAGGATGGAAAGATCTTAACCAAATTCTGTCACATGAATATACTATCTTACAGTAATTAGGGACATCATAGCACCTTGGATATACATGCCTTTTATACTTCCCCACAACTTGCTTGCATACTGTATTTTTCTTAGCATTTTCCCTTGCTCTGTTGAACACGATTTTGAAACAGCTCTCAGTATCAGCAGCAGGATGAATAGGGTAGTTCCGCTCAACTTAAATTTGTAGTTTGCACCAAGGATAATATTCAAGTATCAGCTCTTACTATTATAATTTTATAAACTTTCTTGCATGCAAGCACCCAGTCAAAGGAATGCATGCCCATACGAAAGGTTCTTTCAATACCTTTGCTAGCTTCTGTTGTATAGTGCCTGAATAAAGAAAGAGAATGGGTCTTTTCAGCCACTTAACAATTCATACCTAAGGTCTTTGTTTCCAGGGCACAGGAATGAAGCTGGTCCCCAGGAAAATAAAAAATGCTTAAGAAGACCTCAATGTAATCTTGTTTTCCTTCATGATTAACTGCAGCTAAGAAAAAAAAAAGGAATCTCTTTCATGAGCTTTAGGTCGCTGGAATCATATTGGAGTCATGCTGCTTTGTCAGCTGAACAGGAGCTCCCAGTGTGACACACTGCTAAAAGAGACAATGCTGCTCTTGGATACACAAGCATACACACAGGGTGTATCATCAAGTAGGATGGCTATCGTATGTCTGCACGCAGTCCTTAGCAATTACTGCTAGAAGACTGTCCAGGCTTAGTCCCTGCAGTTCAAAAGGGATGCTCATAAATTATATAAAGTTCAGAGAAAAGCCACAGCAGTGATTGATATGACTGATCTTCCTTGTCCTATAAGCCCTGTACCAGAATCTTTGTTTGATCAAAAGCCATGAAAGGGGAACTCCAGGAACGGTCAGTGGAAGACAACATTGATCCCCCAGAGTCTGACCACTCACTGCATGAAAGACATGACCACTTTAGAAGATTGGCTGGTGACTCACCTTCTGCTGTAACCATGCCATGGTCATGGCCTGAGATTGCACCTGAACTGCTGGCATTTCATGTAGCTCAAGTGCTACTGGTTAGCCACCTGGAAAATAAATGTCATCTGTGAGGAAGACCATGAATTCGGACTACTTAGGTCATTAGGGAGAAGGTTAAGGACATGGTCACAAACTGATTCATGAGTAACAAGACTTTAATAGCAACTGTTCAACTGAACAAAGAAAAAGGACTCTGAAGGTTGCTTATGAATAGTAGCCTCCTTTCTTTAGGTGAACAAATGCTTTTTTGAATGCAATCCTGCATTTGGCATTTTGAAAAAGAAAGCTTAAGGCAGCCATAAACTCCTCTTCTTCCCTCTTAAAGTCACTGTCCTCTGCACAGCCCTGTAAGCAAGTATTGCTTATTCACACAGTGAATGGCTGTAGTTGTATAACTAAAAGAAGTCTCGTGGAAAATCACATACTTTTTCTATATTGAGCAGAACAAATAAAAATCCTCATACCCATTTCTAACTTTCTACTTTGGAAATACCTAATAGGAATTAACAAACTTGAATAAAAAAAATATACCTGAAACTCTAAGCAGTCCAGCTACTCTGGCAGCTCACCTCTTTTCTGCTGGTGGTGTGTAGCTGCCAACAGTGTACACTCACCAGCAAATTGTGCAGGGCCTTCAGACTCACTATAGAAAAAAAACATTCAGAAGCCCTTGGCCAGGATGACTGCTCTTAGCAGAGTTTTAAAGCTTCACAGCATATTATGGCACAGAGCCATTTTTTTGCAGTGCACAGGTATGCAGAAGCGCTACTAGGAGATGTGGAAAAGTGGGAGATTCTGGGAAACCATCATCCCCAGTTACAAGCCCTTAAATAACATTAAATGTCTTTTTATGAAACATCACAATCCCTCTTTCTCGGCTTCCTTAAAAATTGGCTAATAAGAATCACATGACTACTATAAGTGCTCCAGCAGCCATTATTGTGGCTAGTGGGGTTTGAAAACTACAACAGAATTATTGTATGTCACCTCTTTGTCACCAATAATAGAACTGATCGAGCTTATTCAGTGAATAAACACACTGGTGAATTACTCTTTTTCTTGGTCAGTTGTTGGGTTGACAGGACTCTTTTATTCTTTGAGTGGCGGATGGTATGTGTTGCTGCTGGGAGGCAGCAGACAGAAAGTCAAGTTGAGGGCTTAGGGGACAGACTAAAGAATGCCAGTGGAAGCTTGTGCAATGTGTGAGAATCAGCCAGATTCAGAAGGGAAGGAGAAGCCCTGGGTAGTGACTGTAAGACTGATTTTGGACAGCCATTTGGATTATCTTCCTGATGACATGGCTGATAGTTGCTTTTAAAGATGTCACAGTGAATTCAAACACTGTTTGGTTTTCCCAGCAGTTTCAGAAACCATCTCAACCTCCAGGAATTATATCCAGGAAAACAGATGCTGTTGAAATAACTTGCTAGAGAGGACAACACAAAACATCCTTTTGCAACAGCAAAGGGAAATGCTACTTTTTCACACACAAATATGTTACAGGAAAAGGAAGAGGAAAAGTGATTAGGATAGTCTTCCTCTAAATTTAAGAGCTGCATACCATAATCCTCTGTGTGAATACAAACTTTTTTTTATCATGCTCAACTCTATTTGGGCTAAGTTAAAGGGAGCCATAGAAACAAGTAATTCAAACTATACTTGCTTTCTGTACCTCAACATGCCACATCCAGTATCCGTGTAGTTTCCAGTGATCAGAGAAAGAGCAGTATTAGATTGGTTTATTTTCTCAGCTGTAAGAGTTGGTTTCCTGTTTCTCCCTAATGCTCTGTCCTGTCTCCAGCAGTGGGCCCAGTCCTGGCATCCTGAGTGCCATCCCAACTCCATCACGCCAGCTGGGCCCGAGAATCTGTTCAATGAATTTTGCAGCTACTTTGTGTGTACCCATCAGCGTCACCAACCACATTTCTGGGACCTGACACACACGGAACACCTCTCCTGTGCATTTTTCTCCTCCAGTTTTGGCTTATTCTGGTGGTTTTCTTAGAAAAATGAACTAAGCATTGTTGCAAGACTTTAAAACATAAAGCAGACGTTTTGGACCCTCAGCAAAACAATTCTAGAGTGAAATCCCACAGAAACGTACAGATGTGGTTCTGACCACCAGAGGGGGCCTGCAATTGTCCCAGATGCACAGTAAAACCAGCAAATCATGTTTTAGGAGAGGATGAAAACGGCAAGTATGTATTTGTACTAAGGTAGCACCTACAGGCACTGAGCAATGATCAGTTGATTGGAACATACCGATGAGAAAGGAAAACAAGTTTATGTGGGGTGAGCAGGGAATGCTGCCTGGTCCCCACTCCATCAGCTGTGCCCAGAAGGTATCCTACAGAGGAAATTCTTGAGGAATAATATGAGTTTTTCTATGAATCTGTATGCAATTATTTTGATGAGATGAGATTATTTTGGCTGTTGTATTGAACCATTGCCTCCCCCCAGGCTTATTTCAGGGAAAAATAATGCTGTAGATGCAAGTCAAGTTTTCAAAACTGTTATCAAATGTCATCATATTAATATCTCTGTTGCAATTTCAAATCAGACATTTTTCAATTGCCAGTATTTTATCAACATTTTGCATAGATCTGAGACAGTGTTAGGCATCACAGCTACAGTACACAGAAATGCACTTCGGAAATGCAGTTTCCACTTAATACTTCTAATCATAGTGAGAAATCCTGGCACAAAATTTAACATGCAAAAGTGGAAGAGCTTGAAGAGAAAAAAGTCTTTTCTTTTTCCCCTAAAAAAATTTAACTGATATACCCCAGAGATATCACTTTGCTTCAGGATCTATTCAGTTATCCTACTGTAAATCTCAAAAGCACTTGTTTCTCCTTTGCCTGCTTTTTTTATCTATGTAAAATGAATGCAAAGCATGTGTAATACCATACCCTATGCTTGTGCTCTAAAGCAACTTTCGAAAAGCATCCATATATAATCATATAAATAACAAGGCAGCAGAAATTCTAATCCAGCATTTAATGTAAAAAATCCTGTTTATGTACTGTGACTTTTACAGTAGGACATCTGTACAAAACAATGGCATTAATACCACCATATAGAATTAAAAAAGGTAGGAAATTTACTGCTGCTTGTATAGCAATTTACAATCTGGTATGTTCTTGCTTGGAAACACTGTACAAAGAAAACAAATCTTCCATCTGAAAGCCTCATTCCTAGAGTGACCCAATAATACATAAATAGGACGACTTCAGCACACAGCATTTGTCCCTAGCCTGACTTATTAATCTATTTGTAGTGGATATGGGAGCTTGTGGGTGGCCTGACATGGTCCTCATTCAATTTTATTTAATTACTCACTTGATTTCACTTGAAAGAACTATTAAAATGGCATCTTAATTGCTCAGTGTTATCCAGAATCTCTTTCAAAGACCATAAACTGTCAAGGATTAAAAATGATGTCACTGTTCTGAATTCCCTGGGGGAGGCAGGGGGGCAACCTTCATCCAAACCAAAATAAATACATAAATACATAAAAATACACAGCTTTTGGGGAGGGGGGGCAACTCTCCCACTCCCTCTATGCTGCATTTCTGCTTTGAGCAGGTTTGGGAAAAGCATATAATAGATGAAGCACTACAACCCTAAAAGTTTAGGCAGGAGGGGAAAGTCATGTTTGGGATACTTACATCCTAAGAGATGGGCGTTCAAGCACACAGGAACTGCTACCCCAGGTCAGATGAAAGATCCATCCAGCCTAATATCCTGCCTTTGACAGCAGACAGAGGCAGATGCTTAGGTAAAGAATAAAAAGGACAGTGTGCATGCAGAGTGATTCCCTCTCCCCATCCTCCCCCTAACACAAATATCCTCCCTGCTTCTGACAATCAGCAGTTTAGGGATTTCCTGAGCCAGATGTTGCATCTGGACTGCTGCTTTTGATAGCCAAATGGAAGTTGAGACCCCTCTTCTACCAAGATACAGGGTCTTGGCTGTAACTGCAGCCTGGCTAATGCAGTAGCAGCTGCAGAGAGTGGCTTTTCTGCTTCTCTAAATTCAGAGATTTCTTCCTGTTCTGACCTTCACACATAAAAATGCCATAAATTCAGGATGAGTACCAAGGAGAACTGATAGTCATCAGACTTTATAAAGCTAGATTATACCATCAGTAGTCTTATTAAGCAACTTATTAGTTGTGTGGAAAGCTCTCTTTCTACATGCAGAAACACAACCTACATCTGCAAGCAGTTGTTAACTGCAAGGCATATGGAATCTACCCCTTCAATATCTTGTATATCAAAAAAGTTTGGTTAGATATTTCATTTAAATGCACTTCAATGTATCTGGGAACTGGAAAAATAAAAACAAAATAAACCAAAATTTTTCAAAATTGTAAGTATTGGTGTAGAAGCTGGGGGCATCAGAGCAGTCAGCCACAACTTCCCTTGAGGAGCTGCAGATTCCTTGTGCAGAAGACCTCCCATATATGGCTGCAAGGACCAGCTCTCATGGATCCAGAAATGAGATTGAATTTTACTGTTTGACAAGGGAAGAGAGAATTGAAGAGAGAATACCTTCTTCAGGAAATCATATTTTTCTGTGCTTGATCTCTAGGCATAGCTTTGGCTTTTCTTTATTAACTGCTCTGAAGGAAAAACTGTCTTTTATATTTTTATTGTCTTTTATATATTGCCTTGAATAAAATCATCTCCCCTTCTCCTCCTGATCAAATGCCACCCACTTTCTTTTTTTGTTTTTTCTCAATTTTATTTTTATGGAGTTAACTCAAAAATAACTGAACTCTAAAACATGGCATGCAAATAGTTCTAATCTTAGTGTACACACATGTTCAAGCTTGAAAACAAACTGAGTAAGATAAAAATAAAGGTATTGACAATTCTGAATATGGCTCCTTGGCATCTGCTAAGACCTTTAGAATGTCCTGATTAAACTCCCCCATATTTTGTGACTTGACACAGATATACCTGCCTAATCTGATGCTCAGAAGGCTCTGCAAAGAGAGCAGGCAATGAAGGAGAGACAAGCCCCACAGTTATCACAGCAGAACCTTGTGAATGGTAAGAGAAAAGGGAGAAGAAATAGCCTAAACAGACACACTGGAGAGTGTTTTCTTCCAAGGACTGAGATTCCCAAACACTTTTGTTGTATTCTGCTAGTTTAAGCTCTGCAGTTATTAAGCACTTGACTCTAAGAGGTTCCAGTCCATCAGTTGTTCAGTATACACATTCAATATATATTGAACTGGTTGTATCACATTCCATTCCAGTGAAAGAAGAACATCACTGACTAATTTTGCGACAATCTAGCTCCTATAATCAGAGTGTTTAGGTAGATGTTCACCTTCAAGGAAGAAAGATACTACTCATGTACCCAAGCAGTCTGCTTAGTTTCAGTTTACTTCAGTTGGAGTTTACCTACTCCAAAACCCCAAAGCTGTACATCCTAATGCCTCTGCACTGGAGTTTCCAGCATTTTTAAGCTGCCCAAGGGACACTCAAAATTGAGACATCCCCCAAGATCAAGATCAGACCTCTCATTAGGTAGGGATGTACAGGTATTTTCTGTTTCTCCCTTTCTTTCTCAGGAGCCTTGAGAGAAATCTAATGCCTTCAAGGAGCCAGGGTACTCTCAAAACACTTCTCATCTCACAGAGAGTTGCAGGTAGTGGAAGTAATGCTCACTTTCTTTCAACTTCCCCCCTTCTTTTCCCTTCTGCTGAAACCTCTCTACACTCCACCACGCCGTCACCAGTTCTGCTATCCCTATGCAACCACACAGAGCAACAGAAAAAGAGAGTCTGTTTGCAAGGCTGAAAAGGGAAGACAAGGCAGATGGAGAAACCAAAATCATCCCTTTCTGTAGATCCCCTTTTCAAGGACAGATGCAAGAGATAATCTTGACCATAGTGTTTGGCAATTATGTTACATATAAAAAGCTATTCATTTATCTTCATGTTAGCAGTAAATTCTTTTAAAATCATGAGAAAGTATTGCTATGTAAAGGGAAATTGTCAGAGACTTTACACATTGACACAGCCAGTTAGGATTGCCATAAATACCCACCTGCATGCCACAGCCAGTGACTCCTGTTAGAGCAGCACCATGGCAGTGTGTTACCATGGGTGTGCATGTCACTCAGGAGAGTATCTAGCCTGAGAACTGCCGTACCCCTGCTGGGCTCAAAGTTAAACATTAATTCACTGAAAACAAGGGAATGGACAGGTCTAGGTACCAGTGAGACATACACACATAAGTAAAATAGATACTGGAAATCTTCTGGGCCCCTGATATGCAACAGATCACCCACCTGAAAAGTCTTTTCTATCATTTAAGAAAGCACATTTAAATAATCTCTGAATTTTTTGAGCACAAAGATGCTCAGAAAATGTAGCAAATACTGAAAAATTAACTCTAAGTTGGATTTCTCATCAAGAAATGAAGTCCTGAGGGCCACTGCTAGCAGACCAAAACAAAATACACATGGTTGCACGTGTGCCTATTTTCTACCTTAGAATTTAGCTTTTTCTCAGGCATGACTTAAAACTACAAGAAATGGATCAGTTTCCCCTGTGTCTACGTATGTACATACATGGACACACCTACATACAAGAACAGTCATAACACATTTTATCATTAAAATAAATCCTCTTAAGGGAAATAATGCTGAAAGTGGCTTTTTCCATTTTATTAATTAGAATTCAAATGGTTTCCAGTTGTGAGCATAGCTCTCAAGAAACGAGTGTTTCTGCCTATTACTTGCCCAATTTACATTCCATGTCAGTTAAAATTCAAGGAGTCATTTAACTTTACGTCTCCTACTGGCACATGCTGACTGCAGACGTAGTCACACGCAGCAGCAGTCTTGTCAAGAACTTAAGAACTCAGTTTTCCAAAATGCAGCAATGACAATTCAGTGTAAACAAGTCAGCCTAGTAGCTGTAGTTACATTGTAATTGTAGAATCACTTAGCTTGGAAAAGACTTTGAGTCCAACCATTAACCTAGCGCTGTCAAGTCCACCACTAAACCATGTCCCCAGGTGTCGCACCTACAAGGCTTTTAAACACCTCCAGGGATGGTTTCTCAACCACTTCCCTAGGTAGCCTCTACCAATGCTTGACAACCCTTCCAGTGAGGACATTTTTCCCACTATCCTATTTAAAACCTCCCCGGCGCAACAGGAGGCCATTTCCTCCTGTCCTATTGCTTGTTACATGGGAGACCAGCGGAAGCAGCGTGTTTTCTGACTAAGAAATTGTTGAGTATTTTGGTCTATGCAAACTAAGGAAGGAGGGAAACTAATAAAAACCCTAGCTTGGAATATTATGCTGAAGATTTTTTTAAACTGATTTTTTCCCCTCTTGCTGCTTGACAGATGTTAACAGAATTGCTGGTGCATTTGCACAGCTGATGGAGATCTTTGAGTGGAAAGTTTACAAGAGACATATAAAATGCATCTCCTATTTTCAAATATAATTTATTATTTTTAACTACCCCAAGTGAAAGCAATAAAATTCCTTGCTCTGCACTTGAGAAATGAGTATCTGACGAGGAATGCAGCAGAATTGCCCCCACATAACTTTGCCCTGACCCACCAAACACAGGGATACAACAAACAAGATGGTTCTTCACTCCCCTCCTCCTTTTCTGAGAAGTCAGCATTCTCCACTGAAAATAAACCAGTCAGTAAGTGACAATTCTGGAATTCTCCCTGGGAATTAATCCCAGCTGAGACACTAAATCACTTCATGAGAATGTGTTCTATTACAAAACAGTTGTATCAGGGTCCCATTGCACTGTCCTTGGATGCATTCTTTGTTAAATGAAACAGACATTTTATTCCAATTGGGCACATCATAAAAAAGCCACCAAATAATACTTCATGGAGCAGTTTTGTAATAATCAAAGAGACATGCCGGGTACATTATTCTGAATGTTAGTCCTAATCCTCCAGGCAAATACTAACGGATAGTAGCAATTTGTGTAGTCACTGGAGCATAAAAATGAACTTTTAAAAATACTTAATGCTTTAAAAGCAAACAAACTAACAAACACAATAGCTTGCTTGTCAGAGCACAAACAACTTCCCCACAAAACATCTGAGAAAGAATGAAATTGCAAAAGTTTGGACAAATCCAGTTTAATCACTGTGTGTAGGTCTCTGCCCATACTAGGAAATTCTGATGTTTTCCTGTTTTATCCTAGCATGGATGCCACTGCACTAAAGGAACAACAAAGGAGGCAGTAATATGCACAAGAAGAGACAGGTTTAGCAAACTGAAAAACATTACCTGTTTCCCTGCTACAGGACAGTGATACCTTAGCTATCAGTAGACATGTTAGACCAAAACTAGAAAAAAGGGATTGCAGAGACAAACACCAGCTGTGTAAGTGACATTGTAGATACACACACAAAGCCACAGTCCCCAAGCAAACAGGCCCATTTTTACTGAAAAAAAAAGTGTGTTAACTTACCTTGTATGAGGCAAAATCCTCTGGCATCAATCCACATGGCTATGATTCAAACTTGCCGTCAGAACTTCTCCAAACTTCCACTGAAAATGGAAGTACTCATTGTCTAGGAATCAGCAAATAATTTTAATGTGTTCTTTTATTTTCTAATTAAGTGGTTAAAAACAAGCAAGCACATTAACCCACACACAATTTCCCCATTTTTCACTATGCTCCCCTCTTTGCCACTTTCAGATGTTGAAACTGCAAAATTTGATCTTTCCTTTTTGGAAATTAGAAGCTTTCATGCTTGAGGGCAGCAGAAAAAGCTGCTGCTCACCTCCCTGCGTTCAGACCCTGGACAGCAAGATACTCCAGCTAATATGAGCCTGCTGCTGAGGTCCAGGCAGTGATTCAGAGCTGCCCTGTCAGACCAGCATACTCTCAAGCAAAAGCATGACTTGATCTCAAGCAAAAGCATGACTCTTCAGAGCCACATGTCCCATAGCATCCTTCAGCCATCCTGACTCCCAGAGAGGCTTTTGCCTGTGAACCTGGAGAAAGAGAGACAGCAAGATGTCAGATGTCCATGCAGTGCTGTACTGATATTTGCCTCCTGCCATGCTCCTTCTGAGAGCACCTGGCCAAGGAGGTCAGACACAAGTTCAGATTATTTTTCCCTCAGGCTCAGGAAAGCCAAGTCTTGCACAGTAACTGCAGGACACATCTTACCTCCACCTCAGTAGTCAGGGCATTCATTTGGGAGGAAAGACCTCTGATTTGGTATCTTTGCCAGAGATTATTTGTAGCTTCTTTTTAATAAACAACAGACATATGCATATATATGTATATATATAGACATATATATTTTTAACTAACTGAGCTTTGGTCTAGCTTTTGCTGAAGGTGGGTACACTCAGCTTATTGTGGTAAGCAGTACATGGTACTAATGAGCACTATTTAAATTTTGAAGGACTCACATTCATGTTTGTGCAGGCCGGATCCAACTGCCTGTGTGTGAAATGTGTTCCTAGCTTGCTGATTTCACCCCAAAAGTAAGTGCTCTTGAGGCTCCAACTGGAGATACAGAATGGAAATCCAGGCACCTCAAGAAAGGAGGGATTTAATGACTATAGGACTGGGAGGCAGCAAAATGAGGGCTTTTTGGCTTTGTAATTGGTATTCCCAGCTTGAGCACATACGCCCTTTGTGGGGGGGAGCCTGAAGCTCCAAGTTCACAGTAACATCTCATTTGTTACCAGATAGGAATGCATCCCCTTCAAATCTGACCATCTAACTTTAATGTTACGAATATTTTATCGGAATTATGCTGTAAACACATTTTCCCCAATTGTTTTCAGGGATCAAATATGAAGCACTACATCTATGAAAAATTCCAAACAAACATTAGCAATTGCTTTGTAAAGACTTAACTGCTTTTCATGACAATACTTAAGACAAAGGAAAAGGAATATTTGTACTTGGTGCTTGATGGAAAGATGAAGTGAAGGAAAAGGACACATATAATTTGATTATTGTTCTTTGAAAACTGCCACATCTTCTGCTATTTATAATATGATTCAATTCATAAAATGAATTAATCTGAATATAGAAGACATCATATTTAGCAAACACTGTTTATTAGTCAATACATTCAGAGAAGTTTAGCAACATCCCTGTGAGTGCTTGGTGCAAATCCGTGAAACTATGCTTTTAGGGGACAGAATCTGCTTTTTGAACTGATCTGAAAAGTACCTTACATTCCTGTTTATAATACAAACAGTACAAATTAAAACTGTGAAGTACTAGAGACCAATCCCTTGGGGCTTCACAAAGACAACAGAAAAATTAAAAATTAAAAATAAATCAAATTCTCTGTCCAAACCCTCTAATTACAGTATTTGAAGATTGTTGACTTCCTCCAATATAGTTATCCTAAGCTTTCAAAATCAAAATGTCACTGTAACAATTTATTGAATAGCTTTTTGCCTTTTCTCTCTCTCTAGATGGGGAATTTCCTTCAAAATATGTTGCTCAATCCTTTGTATTTATGCTGATTCTGTGTGCTAGAAAGCAGACAAAAATATCAAGTGTGTTTTCTAAAATGTATTGCCAGACATAGAAGAGATGGAATTCAAGACCTCAGCAAAAATGACAGATTATGCTTCTGATGACAGAAGTGGCCAGACTGATACTTGATCTCTGTCAGCCAACATACTCTTAGCTCTGGAAAGACAAGACAGACAGCTGAACCAGACTTTTCTCCCTCTTAGATGTAGCTCTGCCATCTTACGTGTCAGTGTGGTAGCTATGTTAAATCACAGACTCCTACAGGTTATTATGACTCAGGAGAGGCACATGGAAAACTATTAATTGGTACTAAAACTACCTGGTCTTTAAACTCTGTTGCTGGTAACAAAACAGGTTTTCCATTTCTGTGTTTGATGAGATACTCTAACTTTGTGGAAAATGTTCACGCACTCAGAGCTGTGACACACATTTCAGTATTAACCTCATTTTGCTGAGCAGACATCCCTGCCTCGTTGCAGGCGCTGGTGTTCACATTGTAAAAACAGATGCTTTAATGCATCTGTTTTTCATGCATAACGACATAACAAGATCCCATAGCTAGAAGACAAAGTTAGGCAAGTTCAAATGGTAAAGCACACAAATTTCTATTGTGAGGAAAGTAAGTAGTTAAACAGCTTGTGAAAGGATGCAGTAAATTCTGCATGACTTCAAGTCTGTGTCAATATTGAATTTTTTCACACCTGGCTCAGATGTTCTGGGCACGAACCAAGAACTGCAGGGTGAAATTCTATTTTTTGAAGGAAAGCTGAAAGAGATGACTATTAATAACCCCTCCTGGCTTCAAAACCTAGCAGCTCTTTGACCTGTGGTCAGAGTGCCAGTATGACATTTGGGAGAATTCTCCAATCTACTGCTTGTTTTCAGATTTTTTTAAACTTTATGATTTTGGAAACATGCACCTACTTTTTTAGTGTGTGGTCCATTTATTATTTTCTTGACTTTTCTGGGGAGAGAAAATAATCAAAAAATCACATCAAACTATTTCCCAAAAGATCTGCTTAAACTACTAAATATTCTTGCCTGTCTTAGATGCAATCCTGGTTTTATGCATTCATTGTAAGATAATACAAATAATTATTTAATTGCTTACCTTTGATTTTATCCCAAAAGATCAATCAAGTAGCTTTTTCCAAAGATAATCAGGGGCCCTATTTCAGCAATCAACAGATACTTCAAGTGAAGCACATGCTAAACATCTCTACAGGCGTCACTTACTGTGTTAAGGATTTACTTATGTTTGAAGCAGTAGAATCCTGAAGTTAAATTTCAAAATCCACGTTAAATTAATTTTACAAATAGTGAATACAAATCAGCTTCCTCTGACATGGCTGACCGACATTAGACCTATTCTGTTACATAATGTTGAAAGTAGATAAACCATCCAAACTCATTTCCCCTTTGACTTCCTACAGTCTAAATAATCTTAATGCATGTTTTTTTTTCCATCACCTGTCTTTCATATGAGGGAGACCAGAAGGTAGAGATCTGTCCCACTAAGGAATCTGCAGACAACTGACTTTCCAGCGAACCTCTATAATCTATAATTCATTTTCCAAATGAGATCCTGCCAAACCTGGAGAGTTTGTGTGCAGAAACATCCTGATGTGATTCAATATTTTGTTCACCAAACCGATATCATTATTATTATTAGACTACTTTCCTAAGATATTGGAAATGTGTAATCATGATATGTTTTCTCTTAATAACTTCTAAGCACATAGCCAATTTCAGTTGCATTTTAAGAGAAATAGGAATGTGAAATATATTCAATTTCTACAAGGCTGTTAAACTGAACTGAGGAGAAGTTTCTGTTATGTTTTACTGAAAAATGACAACAGTATTAGACATCAGTGACAGCAAAACACTGTGGGCATCCCAGCTCTGGGAACTGGTTTGGCATTTGCACTGTAGATCAGACAAGATATACCCATAAGACAGAAAGCTATATAGTAGACCTCAGTAGCTTTGCTGCTCAGAATACTATTTTCTATACAGTGATAGCTTTTAAATTATTATTTTTTTTAAGATAAAAGTTTGTGTGGTCCCAACCTGCTGCACAAGTGCTGCCTGAGGGTTCCATCCAAGCTGCAGGCTAATTCCACACAAAGGAGTACCTCTGCCTCCCAAGAGCAACTGCTGCAGTTCCTCATCCCCCACTGATAAAGAGGAAGACCAGAGTCTTACTTAGCCAGGCACCTCAACCCAGGAGGCATAATTTCTATGCCACATACTGTGTGCAGGTGCCACAACTAGTCTCTAGCCCTCCCTCTTAAGGAGCGTTGGACAGCTAATCATGAAAGCCATAAAATCTCATGCTGTAATTTCATCACAATAATAATTGCATTAATTCATTACATTGTTATGGCTTTGTTTTGCTGTTGGAATCCTGTGGTTTCATCTTCTTTTTTGTAACTGATTTTCTCATTTACAAGATAAATGATACACATTTATGCTGCATCTATAAGGGAAAAAAAGCCACTAAAAAAACCCCACTGAACTGAAAAATGACCCTGCCTCTATGTCAAGATTTTTCCTGGAATTATTAAATACTAGACAGATTGCAACAAAAATTTAAAACTTTAAAATAGGGCTCTAATAGCTAACCCATTTGGATACTCCTATGGAAATTTAGAAAATCAAGTTCAAGCCACAGAGATTTAAAATACAAAGGCAAAAAGATCAGATCCTTAGATTCCATAAACACATAGGACACAGTATTTGTTTTGACTGAAATATCTCCCAATATATTTTAAAAAATTGCTTACTTACATAATACATATTTGTATGCATAAAGAATAATGTACTCTTTATATCCTGACATCATCTGTCCCATTTCTCTGATGAAAAACAATTGTACTATATGCCTTAAATATTTTGTCACTGGAAGTTCAGCTAGAAAAACAAATGCTTGACAATTTTATTGTTCATTCCTGAAAGAATTCTGGCTTTCATTAAAGCAAAGACTAGTTATAAAAACTGCTTTTCAAAGGCTATGAATGGTACCACAAACTGACATTGGTACCCAAATGAAGCCCATGGTGACAGTCCGTCGTGGTATATTTGCATCATCATTCACTGGATATTTACAACCAATTGCTATGGAATTAAGGCCTCTGATAGCATCTACAGCATGGACAGTCAAAGCATTATAAAACTGATAATTCAATCACTTTCCCTGTGTTCTCAGTTAGTGAGGATGACATAGGAGTGGCTATCCTGGCACAGTGAAGTACCAAATATAGGGAATCCACAGCTTTTGCGATTCCGACCAGGACTGGGGCTTATTGCTAAGAAACTTTAAAATATAATGTTCTATAGGAAATAAACATGTGATAGTCGGATGTAAGGATTTATTTAAAAAAAAAACAACTGTTTTTTTATTTAAAAAAAAAAGAGCCTGGTCCTGCGACAAACCAGCTTGTTACTTCAAGAGCTTTGCCAATGACTTAACTGAACACACAGAGAGGACATGACAAATCACTCAAGGTGCAACAGTTAATCATATGCCTGTGCTGGGTAAAAGTGTGCTGCTGCTGTTTCTCTAGCCTTCCTTTTCAGGCAGCATCTGAACTGAACTCTGCTCTACACTGTGTATCTTCCTTTTATTCTCCCTTTGTAGGGAGACAATCCTGACAAGATCACATCGATCTCTTGCAATGGAGATTATTAATCACACTGAATCATTTCCTCAGTGTCTTTAGCTTATTTTTGGAAAGCATGACCTATAAAGAGCCCATCAGTCAGGGTTAAGAACCCCAACATTTCCTCTGCCTGCTGTCTGAAAATTCTTTTTAAATGTTTCATGCGTATTCTCATCTGAAAGGTAGATTTTACTGAAAAGATTGAAAATAAATATATCCAGCTGTTTCTTAAGTTAAGCAAGGTTGGAAAAAAAATACACTTTTCATACTGCATGAAGAATTAAAAAACCCCTTGCCTTTCTCTGCACAGCTAGAAATGCCTGATCCATCAGATTTGGCATGTATGTTATTCTGATTCAGCAACGTATACATGATTGTACTGGGTGACAATCACCCCCCCCCCTTAGCAACAAAACCCCCTCACTTCTGTTGTATTCACTCTCCCATCCAAGCGCAATGAAACTACACCCTTCCCCCACTTTTCAGATTAAATTCTCATTTTTTTCTGCTCTCTCAGTCGGTTTCATACAACTGGTTTCAATACAAGCAGACAACCAGGTCAGTCACTTAACTGATTTTATTTGGTTCTTGTCCTACTGGGGTGGTAAGAGCGATCTAGGAAATGCTTAGTGACTTTAACTTCTGCTGACCTCCAGGCAGCTGAGTACTCTCAGCATCTCAAAGGGCTGAGCCCCTGCATTCACAGCTTCAGACGTGGTCACAATATAACTATGAGGTGCTTTTAAAGCAGTTTTCAGGACTGCCTGTTCCCTTTTTCTGCCAGGGACATAACTGAAGTATCAGTTTTCTGTTAAACAAATAAAAAAAAAAGGGGGGCAAAAAAGCAGGGCTTAAGCTTTGTGCCATCTAGTGTGCCATCTAGTCTTTCTGAACTTATGGGGCACCTTTGCTGTTATCTGAGAGTGAAATAAAAGCAGCCAACCTAGAAGCTTTTATCTCCCTAAAGTACTAGAAAAAAGCACAGTATAGCAAGGGGGGGGTGGGGGGTAGGGGGCAGGCATGCAGGACAAAACATGCAGGAAAAAAAGGGAAGTGGGCATGAGAAAAGGCAGGGATTGTACCTTGTGACCCTATGTGCCACCCTACACAGGCAGGCAGCAAAGCAGGGTACTTCAGGTAGAAGGGGCAAAGCAGAGCCAGAGACAGGGTGTGGGGGGGACCTGGCATGCCCAATAGCTCTTTATTTCTACAGCTCTATAGGAAATTTTAGCTGTTGGCACTCTGCCTTGGCAAGCCACACCTTGTCACCCTTTCTGAGCAGAGAGGAAAGAAGGGAAGCTAAGTAAGAGCCCTCTGTGGATTTACCCACCAGTCCACCCAGAGCCATGGATGTACAGAAACATGACGTTTGAGCACCTGCTTTGATTTGGCTACAGGCTAGAGATTTCTGCTGTACCCTTAAATTGAGGAATAGTTGTTGGCTTAAGTGCTGGAATAGCAAATGCTGGTAGGGCTGTGAAACATATAGAAAGACTAGATGCTCTCCTCTTCTCAGCATGGGAAAGAGCTCAGCCCAAGTACTCTGCCCCATTTGGATTGTGCACTTCACAAATAGAGCCAAATGGAGATAGGCCTAAGAAGAGCAATGGAAACTAATGTGAGGTCCAGAAAACCTGACGTAGAAGGAAAGGCTGGATATATTGTATTTATTTAGAGAAAAGGATTGAGAGGAGACCTGATAACAATCTTCAGCGTATAAGGCTGCAAAAAGAAAAGGAAAGCAACAAACTGTTTCCCAGGTCCAGTGTGGACAAGATGAGGAGTAATACGCTTGATTTACAGTATGAGAAATTTGGGGACAGAGTATTTTAGCAAAGAAGAAAATAGAAGACTGGCTAGTTTTTCTGGATAGGTCATTACAGATTGTGTATTATGTATTTAAGAACAGAGCAGACAATCTTCATGAGAAGTTACGTTGGTTTAACTGATCCTTCTTTGGGACAGGGAGCGGGCTTCATAACCTTCCTGAGATCATACCTTGAGAAAACTCTACATACTCTACATTAGATAAACAGTATGTCATGGTCACACTACAGACCCTGAGACACTACATGTGAATAAAAGTCAGGAAGACCATACTGACGGGCCAAATGGAACCCTTGGCACTTCAGAGGAGGATTCCGGGGACTCCTTCAGCCCATACTGTGTGTGAAACTTACGTACTGGTACTTGCCATTTCCAAGTAATTTCTGCTTATCTAGGAGCTGATTCAGAAGACAGTTTTCCAGTCACTCATAGGGCCTCATGTGGCCTTCTTTCACTTAAGGAGGAAGCAGTCTGGGAAAAGAAGTCATATCCTCACACCAGTTGTTAGAAATCACAGCTTTTTATATACATATATATATATATATATATATATATATATATATATATATGTATTTTTTTAGGTCAACAGAATTCTCTTACATCTGTTTCCAAAACTGGATTAACAGGGAACAAGAGCATATCTGCAGTAAGCAGAGCCCTGGGGTTGGAAAGAGCCTGCTTCTTATCTGAGTTAAA